ATTTCACAAAGTAAAAACCATAGGTAAACATTGTGTGCATGCTAGGAGCATGGGACAAGTGTAATGATTCAAGTAAAAAGTTGATTACCCGAAACGACAAATAATGAGTAATCGATATGGTGATAAATAAAACGTGTTTTGTTTATACTCAAAGGTTTGAGGCCATATGGGATTAGTATTATTCTTGTGTTTCACCTTGCATGTTTTGACTTCCAGAATAATTGAGTTTATTAAGAATAATCGAATTATTCGAACGGGCCACAGTCGTTCATATGTTGGAAGTAGATATGAATGAAGATTGTCGTGAATTGGTGTGTGGATTGTCTAAAAGAGTATTAGACATAAGCAAATGTTTGCTGCAACGTTCATGAGTGCTTATGAATATGATTTGAGCATTGGGTTAAACCTACTCCCACTTGGATCACTATCTCGAGTGATTAGTGAGACGATAACATCTTATATTCTTGAAACCGAGATGTGTGAGTTGTATCTTGCGAATCGGTTGCACATTGATAATATGTAAACGCACTAGTAACTTGGTGTTATAAAACATATTGTTGTGTGTGATTTGTTTAGTGAGTGCAAGCAAGAATTGTATCAAAGTTTATCCTTTCCTTTTATTCAAAGAATAAAAGCGATATCTTTGGGCCCCTCAATGGTTTAGTGATGACAAACGTAAATGCTCGGCCGGGCTAGGGCTAATTTGATTTGTTCAATTAGTCTGTCGTCATAAATCAGAAATCGAGATATAGTACAAAGAGAATGATTTGAAATCATATCTCATACGATATCTAGAATGGAGGAATATATGATCCCTTATCTAAGGACACGTGTATCTGATATGATCAGAGTTGACAGCGGCTTTGGAAAGCTACGATTGCAGATCAGGATCTGAAGTCATACGCAGAATAGTTGTTAGACTTATCCAAGTGGGAGACTGTTGGATTAGTGTCTAAGTCCATAACTATTTTGGTATGTACTTGACCCGATGGTGCATGGTCCTTTTGGGTTGCCTTCACCAAAGCAACTTGATAGGATGAATTATGGAGAGTAAGGATTAAATATGATTTATTAATATATTATGGGAATAATATATTAAAGGAGAAATCATATTGTTTAATTAATATTAGTCAATAATTAATTAATAATTAGTTTTGTGACTAAAAGAGATTAATTAAACTTAAGGGACTGGAATTGTAATTATAAGATAATTGCAATTTGGGCCATGGATTGCCTTGTATTAAGGGATGGACGAATTCTAATGGGAAACCCATAAGGAAATCGTCCATGGGCTTGATAAAAGGAGTCTATGGGTTGCTTAGGGCTTAAGCATCCAAATTAGGGTTTCCTTGTTAGATAACCCTAATAGCCCAACTATATAAAGACCCCTTAAGGCTAAAAAACGTGGCTAATGATCATGCTAGGGTTTACACACGTTTTTGGCAGCCTCCATCCTCTCTCCTCTTCATCCTCTTGCTTATGGTGTTTGTGAACCATTAGAGGAGTGACACTTGTGACTCTAAGCATTCCAAAGTCAATACAAGGAGATTTGGGATTGTTATTGCTACATAACAATCAAGGTATGATCTTAAACCTAATTACATATTAATATGATTACTTGTATGCTAGAATTAGGGTTTATAGTCTTGGCTTCAAAGCATGTACAATAGAGAAAACTAGATCCAAGCATTAGGGTTTGTATGAACACATAGGATGTCTTATGACCAAAACCCATCAGGAATTTCAATCATAACCTTTGGGTTACAAAGCTTGGTCCTTATTGGAGACTCCTACTTCTTCTTAAACACAGTTAACTTAAGATAAGGTATTTACTTTGATTACCGTAACAGATCGATGGGTCATGTTCTAATAACCTATCATTGTATGATGCAAAGCTTAGACTCGGGTCTTTTTGAGTTAGATTCCATAGTGGAAGATACATTCCTTCATGTTCTAATGTGATATAGTCACATTCCAACATGTAGCCCTTCTAGCTACAAGCTTCTTACTTTAACCGCGATCGAGATACTTTCGTTGATTGCTTCGATTATCTTTTACTTCAATCTTCTAGCTTAATTTGGATGTTGCATCGAACTTGGTTATTTGAACTATGTATAATACTTATCTTAGTCAAACTCAATTTGATATGACTACTAGGGTCGGAATAACAATCATCTTCTTTGTCATTACCTAACTGATGGTAACGACAGGCATGAAAAAAACGGAATCAATTACTGGCGCCTTGGTAACCTTATGACTCCCCCGATCCAAGTGTGGGTCCTATGCTTCTGGTAGTATAGGCCTCTACTACCTTTCATATATACTCATACTTGTCCCAAGAATTTCCTCGTAGTTCGCAAGTTCTTTATTTCCTAAAATCACAAAACGATTTAACACATACGAATGTGTCCAAAAAATCTTAAATTTTTCCATAGACTCTACTAAGACTTCTTCCATGCATATCTTCAACAACAATTTTGATCCAACTTGGTTGGTGGTGGAAACACCAGACGATGGGACAACTTCAGGAATTACAACAATCGTTCTATCATCCCGACAATCAAATGTGTACATTTTGATGTACCATACTCCTCTAGATATATTGTTATTTTATCAGATGCATTCTAAAGGCAAGATACCACTCTTACGATAGGTGTCATTCACTAACGTATGCATTCTCATTTCCTCCATTTAGTCAATTTGCTACGAGTCTTCACCATGGCATTATGTTCACGGAAGAATGCGTTCAGTGCACCGGGATGAGAATATAAATAGAGAAAGTTTAAATGTGTAATCCTCCTTATTACTCCGCAAAGTTACATGTCAGTTTTAATACCATAATTAATGTTTAGAAGCCTGAGCACATAAAATTTCCAGATCCAGTCGGCAATAGGCCATAGTGTTGGAAAATAACACATCAATGTGGCCTTTGGACTATTTTATAACTCTAATTACATGCTAGGTACAATTATATTTTGCACCATGATGTTTGCCATAGTGACATATCAGGTCCCCAGACATTAAATTATGTAGTATGATGGATATGACATTGTTCTATAACTTGAGGGACTAATCTTGTGTGGTTTTAATTTCTTTCCGCTAAGGTGTAACTGATGAATTTATTACCCAATAATAACGATCAAATGGAGACCCAACATTTTCTCTCTTATGTTTCAACACTCCTTATAAACACCATCATCGTGAGTGCCAATGGATCAGTTGATCTATCCATCAGAAAATCACAGAAACACCATTATGGGAAGAAAGGGAATCGAACTATGGCATCATATTCAACGTCATTAGTTATAATAATTTCCAAGTAAGTGCTCTTCAATTTATTTAGGGTTCTTGATGTTTATGTGTAAATTGATTTTTGATCGTGTCTATAAATTCAACATATGGTATCAGAGCATGGTTTCATTTAAAATTATCAAACCCTAATTTGATATTGAAGTCTTGTTAAATAATTGTTATATGTCGTAATATAATTGACATTTACATGTTTTCGTGTTATTGGTTTTTTGAATACCATTTATATCTATGGTTAACGATCACAATATAAGGTTATGAAGTTTGTGATTACTTTTACAAATATGTTTCTGCCCTCAGTGCATAACAGGAAGAATAGATAATAAAAAGCTAAAAATATGGCAATCTTGTGCAGTGTACAGAATGAAGTAAATTCATATTGTTATATTATACTATAATAGTTGATTCATTGGTCAATAGATGCGACAAGGTATAAAATGGATCAATTCAAATGGTTTTGTTATTCTATGGACCACTAATTTGCAAAATTAAAGAAACATCATTTTAAGAATATGAAGCAAGCAACAGACTACTATTTCTATTTTTATTGGTCTTGTCAATTGTAAGAAAATTATAGGTCAGTATATTTGGTGGATCCATCCTATAAGGCTTAATTTCAATTGTTATATCCTGATTTGGTTTTAAGTTAGATGATAACTCATCATCTATGTTGTGCAATTTGTATTATGTTAAATCCAGTGGATTTAAAATTTTTATTTTCACATGCATTTCAAAAATCTGAAATCTACTTATTTTAAACCAAGTTAATGCAATTGATTTTTTTTTTTTATTATTTCTTAAGATGGCCTCTATATTTCCTTTTAGTTGCTTTGAATTGAGACCTAATAGTCCCATGAAATATGGCAGTTTACATGGTTTGCCAATATAATTTACTTATATATTTCTACTCAATTGATAATAATTTTGATCTTTTCTTTATCAATGGTTTAATCAAGTATTACAAAACCCACATTGGGGTATTTGTTTCCTCTTTACACGTTGGCAGGAAAGAAAAAAAAATATTGATGATCTCATGGTAAAGATGCAGATATGCATAATATACATACATTTCAATGTAGTGTGATTATTTCTTACTTTGATATGCATAATAACATACATTTCAATGTAGTGTGATTATTTCTTACATGGTAAAGATGCAGATATGCATAATATACTAGAAACTTGACCTTTAGCAACAGAATCAGCTACGGATTCTATCCGTAGCTAATCAACTACGACTTACCAAGGGATTAACGATGGAATGCACAAAATTTTTAACTAACATACTTTAGAGAGGCATTAACGAGGGATCACCGTCTGATTGCTAATAATATCTCGACAAAAACATTTAATTGTTAATCCGTCTCAGATTAAAACATTTAGCGAGGGAATAACGATGGATTGCTAAAAATCCCAGGCCTGGCCTCGCGAGTCGCTGGCAGAAAATTGACGCCTCGTTTTTTCATTCCCACTTTTCTTCTTTTCTTGTTCGTTGGTTTATTTTCATTCCCACAGATATCTTTCCCAAAGCCCTAATTGGCCTTATGTCGACTCAAATCCCTCTCACATCCTCTTTGGCTTCCCTATCGATTCGTCTCCATTCCTCATTGCTCATCGTTTCCCTGCCAGCGCCGTTCAATCTTCTATTGTCTCTTCAGATCTCTTAGTATAACTTCTCAGCAATCTTCAACCGAAGAGGAAGGAGAGTTGACTCTCAAATCCGCTCGAGTCACGTTTCCGATCATGGCAACTAGGAAAAATTGACCACAACTAATCACCTTCGTCATTTGGAGTCAATGGCGACTCGCCCGTCGGGTGCCGGCATGATACCAAAGCTGAATGTCGTGATACTCGACGAGTCTCTTGCATCCGAGGAGGACGATCTCGTATTTCCCGGTCACGATTTCTCCCAACAGGCACACGTACCTTCTCCTCAAAAGGTATCATCCTCAAAATTGATCAATAGCAGATCATCTGCATATATTGTTTCATTTCGTTGGAAAAATAGAGTCAGTGTCGAGTCAAATACATAAGTTTTGAACTATAAAGGCGATACTCTAGTTTTGATTATTGAGAAAGGATTGGTGGCTACATAAACATATAGATCTGTTATTTCAATGAGAATATATTTTGACCTACAAGAACAAAGAGGACAAAATTTCTATTTTAATTTGAAGTCTTCTACTTTGGATTTTCAAAATACGAAGTGAACTATAATCACAAGAAGGAAACATGACCTATTCGCTGTTCTTTTTAATAAACATTTTCATCATATAATCGGTGATTTGGAGCACCATTTCAGTACTTAGAGATGTACAACATATCAATTGAAGATCCTGGTGGCTTTTGGTATGATATTGCGCATCAGAATTCTATTGGAAAGAGAAATGGGGTCAATAGGTTTACTCAGAGAATCTTGATGTTAGAAATGGGAACATCAAAATTGAGGTAAACAATACTTTTATCTTTCTGTCATCTGCCTCTTTCATCTTGTATCACATGCCTAATCAGCTATTGGCCATTCCTATCTATCTACTCGGTGGTTCAAGGGTGGCATCACCAACATCTGTTATAATTGCTTGGATAAAAACATAGAGTCTGGGAATTGCGATAAAGTTGCAGTTGTTTGGGGCTAATTGCAAACATGGCCATTCTCAGGCAGATGTTTGAGGAATTGAAAAAAACCCTAATTATGGCCCTTCTTAGGAAGATGTTTGGGGCTAGTGCCAAGAAGGTCTTTCTAAAATTCTGACTCTTATCTCTTTTGTTTAATTTTATGTCCCTCTAATCGGATGATGAAACTGCCTGTTCTTCCTGAATTTGGTTAATTTACAGGTGAAAGTGGAGAAAAAAACCTGGAAAGTTGATGTAAGTATCTCCCTTATGAATTATTTGTTATTCCTGATTATGCAGAGGTACCTAACAAGATTGAAACATGGCTGTTTTGCAGGCTGGAAGTAGAACTGTTGATTTGGAACTGACGACTCTTTCAAGCACCCACCACATGGAGCTGAACCCAAGTGATGCTGGGTTCCAGGAGCGGTACATTGTTCAAGAAATCATTAAAGAAATGGCAAAGAACAGACCAATTGACGTTAAAGGCAAGAAGGGTTTCAAAGGTTTGCAAACAAGTATTCTTATATATATATATATATATATATATATATATATATATATATATATATATATATATATATATATATATGTGTGTGTGTGTGTGTGTGTGACATCCGTCCTACCAATGTACTCATGGTGTTTCATATATGTTGTATCAGTATTAGTACTCAATGAGGTTGATAAACTTTCAAGAGAAGCACAACACTCTCTAAGAAGAACAATTTAAAACTTCAGAGAAACTCAAACAAGCTAATGAAACAGATCATCGTGCTGAAGTTAGTGTAAGTAATTGATTCCTTATCAATTCTCATACACAAGCACATCAAAAAATATTTACACTCCTTTCATGGTGATTGATTTTTGTTTTTGTTGGAATGCAGACTAGCAAAAAGATTATAGATGCTAAACTTGCAAAAGATTTTCAAGCAGTTCTAAAAGAATTTCAAAAAGCTCGATGCCTTTCAGCTGAAAGAGAGACAACTTACACTCCTTTTGTTCCTCAAGCCGTTCTTCCTTCAAGGTAGATTTCCAATTCACATATGGAACTAAATTAAATTAGCTTTGTGAATTAACAGATTGTTATGGTTGTATTTGCAGTTATGCAGCCAGTGAAATCGATATAAGTTCAGACAAAAACTCATAACAATGTGCACTTCTTGTGGAATCTAGAAGGTGAGGTGTTGTTGTTCTTCCGTTTTTACCTTTTTATGGCCATGTCATCATTATTTTTATAAGTTCTTTCTTTGTGTTGTGTAGACAGGAGGTAGTATTGAGGAAAGAGAACAGGGGATTCAAGAAATACTGTATCAAACTGGGGAAGTAAATGAGATTTTTAAAGATCTTGTTGTTTTGGTTCATGTACAAGGAGCCATGATTGGTAAGTAGCTTGAAAGTACAGTCTTGAAATGAAAAAAAAAACATAAGTGCAATGCTATATAAAGGAAAGTAAATTACATGATGTTTGTTTTTTCAGTTGATATCGGGTCAAATTTTGAGAATTCTCATGCTGCAACTGCACAAGCAAGAATCCAGCTTTCAGAAAGTATATTTATTGGTTAGTTTATGTTATTTGTTATTGTGTTGATGAGGGTTCTAATTTTAAATATTTGTCGTTTGATCCTATGCTGTGACAGCTCATCAAAGGTTACTGAAGCTGTTCATTCTGGTTGTCTTAATGTGCAAATAAGTGCACCAAAAGAAGACCAAGTCAGTATTTGCAATTTCAGTTTTAGTAGGGATGAATAACTGATTGATTATACATAGGAATATTAATAGGGATTTATGTCGAACTTTGTTTTTTTATTCAGATTGTTAACGTTCTGGAATTTATTGGCAAAAAGGAGTTTAAGGAGGGCTTTATTGTCATTTGAGACATGCCGTGTCCTGCAGTTAAGATCAGTCTTGCACTTTTTCTTGTGTTTTCTTGTGTCCAGCAGCTAAGATCAGTTAAGACCTTCTCAGTGGTCCATAATGGTTGATACAAATGTTCAAAGATCAAATCCCAAAAGAGAAATTTCTGAAGACTAATATGCAAACATGGTATTTTCTTTCACAAAACATGTTTTTTTTTATATATTTTTTGGTTGGAATCGGAATTCAATTCTATTCTAGTCTTGTATTTAGTTTAGCTTCAAATGAGTAGACAATAATGTCCTTCATCAACAGAAAATCATGTTTCCAACAAATACCATGTCTCATTCCATTGCAGGAAAAAATAAGTAGAACTTGGTTCACCTAATTCCATGGGGTCTAATGGGAATCGGAATGCAATTCCATTATGGTCCTTTCGGATGCAATGCAAGATATGAAGCAATGGGGAATATGTATGTGAAAACTCAAAATATGAGACAAAATTGAGATTATGGTACATTATACTTAGAAATAAAAATCAATGAATATTAAACTTTGATATTTGATGATTTTGATCATTTTGGTAAACATTGATATTTGATGTTTTTGGATGTTTTGTTAAATTTTGATATTTGTTTTTAGTATTTTAATATTAGTGTTTGGTTTTGGATTGTATAGTTATATGATTCCTTTGGTATTAATTTGTTATTGTTTAATTTGGGATTGTATAATTTTTTGATGTTTTTAGTATTTTTTTGTTTTAGATTTGTAATAAAAAAAAACTAATACTATATATTTGCGAGGGATCAGCTATGGAAACAAAAAAGAATCACATCTAAAATTTGCTAGTGATTAGCGACGGACATATGAAAAGACATATATAGAGGTTTGCAAGGGATTAGTGATGGAATATTTTTGTTGTTGATATCCTGAATAACGGTGGTAAGGGACCAATTTGCGATGGATATTCCGTTGCTAAAGTCGTCGCAAGGAAAAACAAGTCCGTCGCTAAATCTCTAGCTAAGTCATTAGCCATGTTATATTTGCCTATGGAGCAAGTCTGTCACAGATCCGTCGCTAAAGACCTTTAGTGACGGAATAGCGACGGATTTATCTGTCACAAAAACCTTGTTTCTAGTAGTGTATTAAGACATTTTACATCATATTTCTTTCTTATACTTCCTCTTGTCTAAAAATTATGTTTTTTTAATAAGATAGTTTGGCTCAATACAACTTTAGACTTGGGATATGTGCTATGAAAAGAAAAACAGGTTATCTGTATCATTTGGACGGCCTAAACCGAACCCGCCATAGAGTTATCCTGTGGGGGTAAATCCTGAAACATTATGATCAATATTTTGGTAGAACAATAACGTTATAACATTAAGCTTTATTTTTGGACTTTCACAGCTCAATCTATCTAAACGTATAAAATCTATAAGATATTAAATAAACTTTATTTAATTAGAATGGCGGCCCACCAAATTTTTAGTATGTGAGATTGAAACCCAAAACAACTTCGTTTGAATGCTTAATTCTAGAATAATCAGTATATGTGGGATCCTGCATGGACGTTGATATAGACTTCCCATATGGTATAAGAGTATAAGTTGGGAAACATACATGCATGGGATATTGGTGCTAATGAACCCAAATTATACATAACCATATAAATAACTTACTTAATAATTATAATTATGGAAGTATAATAATTTTTAAAAGCATAAACAATATGAATATGTTTGTTCGTTTGACATCTACTTTTAAATTAAAATTGATTTGATCAAAAGTGGCATCTTTGAACAAAAAGTTAGTTAAATTATCCATAAGTTTACGCGATCCATATTTACTTATTATATATTCTTTTACTTTATTTAAACAAGAATTGACGTGATTATCCAAATAACAACATTCTTTAGTCAACATTGTAGTTGTTAATTTGAATAAATTAAATTTAAATAGTAGAATGCATGCGACCTAGCATTCTGATTTCTCTAGCTAGAAATAGTCAATTAGGCTTTACATATGATGTGCTCAATCCTTTTAATAGATTCCATTTCAATAGGAAAACTCGTGTCTTGAAGGTATGAGATGACTAATTATATCTTGGTTAAGTTGGTCTCGTTAAATATTTTTGAATAAACATTAAAAGTATATTACTTTGTTAACGAGAAGCATCGTGTTACAATTACTAGTCAATTACTAGTCATGTGGACTGAGATCGATCGAAATCAAGAATCAGAAGACTAGACATGATGTTTTTGTTTCTTGCCTGCCTAAAGATTTGGTAATTGTGGATCTTCTCCTTGATTTCTAAATCACATAATTACAAATATAATAACAATTTTTACAAGAACCGGCCATGGGCAGTCTATACACTAACATCTGTCGTAGTTTGATGTCATAGTTTAATAAGGAGAGGAGACTTTTTCAAATGTTTAAACTTAATTAGGAATCAATGAATTAATAGAGAATTCGATACACCAATCCTAAAGATCATAATCTAACCGTATTAAGTACCAAATCATCTCATTTCCACTTTCTTTTCTTTTTCTTTGGGCAACAGAGAATAGCCACCACTACTTCCGCAATCACGATCGTTGACTTGTTCCTTCTTCCAGTGACAGCCACCAAAGGGTGGGTGTGTTTGGGTGGTGTGGTTAATTCTTGCCACAGGCCCTATGATTTCTATGGTCTTGTGAACTTGGTGGTCGATTGTCGTCCTTAACCAAGGGTAGCATCCTGCTGCTGCAGTAAGTGTGTGTGTGTGTGAATGTGTGATAGAAAAACGAGAGCTAAAGAACAATCGTCTTCTGGAAAGGAAGAGTTATTTATATACTAAACACGATTAGGGTTTCATTATGGTTGGGCCGCCATTAGTTTCTTTGGAAGATAGTAATATTAATCCGAATTAGGGTTACCAAAAACTAACGAGTTTCGTTAGTTTTACCATAATCACCCTCACGAAATTGAATTTTTCATTATGTTCCCACATGCAAAATTCGGTGAGGTTTTGGGGCGCTACCCCTAGACCCCGCCAAAGGGGCGCTGCCCCTTTGGAAACCCCGGACCCCCGACTAGTCATCGAACCGACTTCTGACTCGATCTTATACATGCGTGCACTCTGCACAACCCCGTACATGTATTAGAGTACAAACCATGAAGCCCCTTAGCTCACATGTTAATTCCAGTTACTTAAAATGACATGGTGACACTAAAATCACCAACAAGTATAATAATTTTTCACAGCATAAATAATATGAGTATGTTTGTTTTTTCGACATCTACTTTTAAATAAAAATTGATTTGTCAAAAGTGGCACTTCTGAACAAAAAGTTATTTAATTATCTGTAACCTTACGCGATCCATATTTACTTATTATACATTCTTTTACTTTATTTAAATAAGAATTGACGTGACTATCCAAATAACAACATTCTTTAGTGAACATTGTAGTTGTTAATTTGAAAAAATTAAATTTAAATAGTAAAAGGCATACGACCTAGCATTCTGATTCCACTAGCTAGAAATAGTAAATTAGGTTGTACATATGATGCGCTCAGAAGGAGAAGACGCTTATGGGTGACTTCGGCTATGACTACAACTATTGTCCTGACAAAAATAATTTGGCTAAGGAGTGCATGTTAAGGAGATTAAATGAGAAGAAAGAGGGAGAGGATAATGAGGCTTATTATCTCCGAAAGCTTGAGGAGTTCAAAAAGAAGAGAAATGTTGATGACACTAAACCTGCTTTGATTGTGTAGGAATAGGATGATGAGTTTGGAAGAGTCGAAGTTTGGTCGACTGATTTAGAGAACAAAGAGGTTCGAAGGCCAACTCACGGGAAAAGCTTCGTTGCGAAGGATTAAGTTTCACAGTTCAGTGGAAGATGCTTAATGGTTAGCAAAGACGTTTTAGAGAGAAAGGGTTACGCCACTGATGACGGTCGGGTCCCTAACAACTGCTTCGTAGCGAAACTTGTCTTGGAGCAGATCAGTGAATGTGAAAAGATGATCCGTAAGATAAATTCCATTCTTAATTCTCTAAATAATCCTGCATCTCAGATGAAACTGAATTAAATGACTTAAAATTCACATTTTCAAGTTTCAGTGATAGTCTAAAACGAACCCGTTTAACTAATTCTAATTTAACTGATCAACTCGGCAGGGTTTCGAACAAAAGTGAAGAGAGGCGCATATGGATTGAGAAGTTAGAATCAGATTTAGCAAGGTCTAGGGATGATTTAATTTATTCACAATGTGACAATGTGGGCATTTTAAAACAACGTAATATTTTTTGTTTGATTGCTAAACGTCTTTACTTTAATATCACTCAACTTCATATCGATTGTGAGATAGGAAAGAAAATTCATAAAATGATTTTGCTATTTCTTGAATTGAAAGAGGACGAAATCGATGCAGACTATTACAAGTGCGAATCAACCGTATCATCAGATGAAGTCTCAGATGCCTACAGAATTGGTCATGACAAAATTGAATCTTACATACAGTCCAAAGAACATAAAGAAATGTTAATACAAATTTTGGATGAAAAAGATACAGAAAAGATCAAATCTGAAACTATACCAAAATTTGACTCTCTATGTACTAATTTGAATTCAGAAAATAAACTTAATGTTGAAAATGTGTCTGAATTCAATGACAGTAACATGAGTGAGATTTCTGTAGAGGATGAGGTTGACTATTCAT